ACCGCTGACCGGTTTGGGTCCGTTGGGTCCCTGGGTCTTTTGGAAGAAAACTGATGGACTTTTTGGGATTTCATCCGATGAATTTCCATCATTGATGGGACTAAAATGATGGGTTTAACGGTTTAAGCATCATTTATAGTTTGTAAAACATCTTAGATATCTTAGGTTGACTTGAGGGGCGATTTTTTGAGATATTCCAGGGTTGACTTAGGTGAAAGGAATGACATTGATGATCATTTCCCGGCTTGTTCTTTGACCCATGTCCACTTAGACTCTCTAGGAACCTCACATGGCGAAGATCTTGAATTTCATTGAACTGTCAGGTGCCTCTCTTCAATCCGTCCTTGCAGGGCACCGAGATCGTGGTGGTAAGATGGCAATATCGTTGTAAGAAATGAACTGTTTTTTTTTTTAAATATCCATCCACCATCTTCATGATTGTATGGCTGTTTGGGTTCAATTTACTTAATCTATACTTAATCTATAGCCCATTCTTTTTTAGACACACCGCAACTGCCCGAGGCTCTCACTTTCGGATGGTACTTTCTTGGTGGCCCTGCGGATGTCCAATGGGTGCGCGGTTCTGCAACAGCTGCAACACGCCATAGCATACCCTTCGGTAATTTAACATAGCTATGGAACATGACCTATTTATTTCGATGATTTACCTATTATAGTTGCTATAAAGATAATGGCTTTCCAGAGCAAACTGTTGGACTACCGTAGGATAGATTGATTAACAGGCCCAATCCGGTTATTTTTCCATTGACATTCTCATCTAGCAGAATCTAGCAACCTAGGTTGGTGGTTGAATGGAAACTCTTCATCTATGGAAGATGTTTTCAAAACATGGGGGGATCCTGCCCGATGACTTGACAGGCAGGGCTGTCCAAGTGTCCGCGCAGCCCGTGAGTCCAGCAGCAAGCCCCAGATGTGGTAAACTAACATTAGTATGGATCAATACCTATTATATAATACCATTTTTAGGGGAATGAACATCCATTTACCAGCTATTTTGATGTTCACCAGGGGTACAAGGTTTTGACACACTGGCACATAGCAATGGAAGCCATTTCCCGTTTATAGACGATTTACATCTTAAAAATAGTGATGTTCCAAAGGGATAATGAGAATGATGCAATGGATGGACTGGTATATTTTCAGACAACCCTGATGTCGTTCGGATGATTTTTTTGTTTTATATAGAATGTTTTGGATGATTTTCCGACTTCGCATCAGGCTCACATGGTCATTGTTGGACCTTCAAATTTGGAGCTTTCCAAAAGATTGATTTCTGAGAGAAAGTTCATCAACCAGTGCCCTGGTCCACTCATGGGATGAGATTTGATGATGCGCCGAGGCATGGATACCCGGGTGTGCCGCAACGAGTTGATCTTGGCACTGGCTCCCAGTGGTAGCAGCTACCACAGCACGCAACGAGTTGGTCGTGAACCTTGGGCCCTTTATGGGGGGTACCCTCTGGGAGTTTAACATAGCTATTGAAAATGACCATTTATAGCGGATTTACCCATTAATAGCATGGTGACTTTCCATAGCTTTTTGTATGTTCACCAGAGGGTAAACCATGTATTTATCTGTGGCTGAATTTGATTCTGGATCAAAGCTCCTGAGCAAGGCCCATTTGGCGAAGGACTTTTCGGTCCTGAGCCACGTGCTCGTCGAGATGCCACGGCTGTCCGGATGGCCCAGTGGCGCCGACCTGTGAGGCCAACCGTTGGTGTTTTGGTGAGTGGTAGATATTTGGCAGAGATATACCACATGTGGATAAATTGTGTCAATGTCATGTCTCTCCGTTTTGAGGTTCATAAAGTTGATTTGAAGGATCATGTTCGGGAACCATGGTCGAGATTGGTCGAGATGTTACACTTCGTTCGGATGATTTTCTGGCTGAAGACCATCATACAGTACTTGTGGAACAAAAGATCTTCAGAATGGCCCGGGCAGATGATATTTTCGAACAATTTTTAAAGATCATGACGCCAGGGTCATCTTGTTTCCACTTGACCAAAATCTTGGGTCCCCTTGGGTCCCCATGGGTCTACCCATTGGGATATTGACCTAGGAGCTGTTACTTCACCCCAGAAACACAGACGGCGCGGGGCCCAAAGCTGCCGCTTGAAACGGTGCATCCAGGTATTCCAGCAACAATCGCGACTGGGAGAAGCGGGCGATTGGTGCAGAACAATTGTCGTGACATTCCTATGGGAATCTTACGGACTTTTCCATCTTTTTCCTCTATTCTTTTGCTATTCTATTCATGGATAAACCATTTATAGTGGATTTACCCATTTATAGTGGATGACCATTTACATTCATTTCTATTCCTCGAGTTTTTGCTGGGTAGATGAAATCCCAGGCTGGTCGACAATTCTTGGACGAGGTGCGCACACGACACGGACCGTTCTTTGCAGTCTTAATCTGCCAGGAAGTAACGACTGGTAGGAATACAGGTCAGAAATTTGAAATGAGCAAACAACAGATGGGCAAGGGTTGAAACATGTTGAAACCTATGATACCATATTTGGGGGGTTGAACAAAGTTGAACATCCAGCTATTTCGATGTTCAATGGTGTGAAAAATAGGGTCCCAAGTTCTTTTTTAGCCGGGAATCTTCAAGGCAGAGGCCATGGTTCAGTTGGGATGAGCACTCGCAGGTGCACGGACCGATGGACGCCCGTGCGGGGTCCCGGGATGTCGGGACATGTCTCGAAACCTCGAAACCGGCCATTGATGGCACCAGATGCGAATTCAGGTATTGCTTGGGGTGCAGATGAAATCTGGGTTCTCTTCTATGCTGAGCGGAACCAGCAGCAGGAGGCAGAGGGACTTCCCAGGATGTCCAGCTGACGCAATGGTTGTGATTGGTAGTTGGTTCCAATTGTACACCCCAAATCTGTCCAAAATTTGTGTTTCTGTTGGCAAGATATTCCATTCTCGTGCGCAGTTCGCACCCTTTGCTTGGTGGTCAATTAATTTATGTACTCACATGTACGTCTCGGTTACCAAGTGGCTTGCAACTTTATAAATTTGTAACCCATGCATATATTACTAATTAAATCTAATTAACCCACATTGAAAACTGAAACAGAATGGTTTTCCGGACATAACTAGCTATTCTTACTGCCTGGATGCACAGGTCGAGCGCGGCATGCACGCAGCACCTCTGCACATCTCTTGGGAGAAATGCCGTGGCAGCTTGGAAAGCGACGACGATTGGCTGGATGAAAATGGTGGATTTCAAAAGGCAAACAGATAGAAAACCATATTTCAGGCCATATGAATTGTGGGGATATTCCCTGAAATTTAGGCCTGAACAATAGGCCTTATATATGGTAGGTACTTCCAATTTAGGTTCCTGAAATGGCCATTGAATGAGTGAACATGGTGGATTTTCAAGGAGATGCTCACATCACCACTGTCGCCAAGGCTGGTTTCGGCATGTTTCGGCTAAGGCTGGTCGATGCACAGCAATGATGCAGCTGCCTGGAAGAACTTCAGAAGCTGTTTTCGATACTTATTAGTCGCCTCCAATCTCTATGTTTTCGCTAAATGAAAAATCATTATCTCAGTCAAATACCTCCAACCTCTATCAAATCCAACGAATCCAATGGACTAGATTAGATATTCAGATATTCTATATTGTGGTTAACCTTGGCATTACATTGGCTAGTAAATTCATATTCTTCCCAGACTGGTTGGAGTTTTCTGGTCAAAATCTGAGGTTTGGACCCCTTCGCAATGCCGCTGGCTAGGTACAAAAGGGGAGAACCATGTGGCCCACGGGTTTCAAAAATCGACCGATGGGTTATGATTGGTTTACTGGAGGGTAGACATTTTCGACCAGGTCTCGCTTCGTTCCGACAAAAAATTGCTTCTGGTTCGATATTGGGAATTTGGTATCCTATCATATCTTCAAAATTGGATCATGCAGGACGAGTAATGGCAAGACTCATGCCGAAGCGGACTGCTTTGCACCGCAGGTGCTGGACTTCCGCCCTACACACTGCAGAACTGCCAGCAGTCTTGTGAGGCAAAGGGCATTGGAGGAGTTTAGTATACATAGTCAAGTTTCATTTAATAGGTTCTCTATCAATTCCACTTTGTTTGGATTTGTGGCAGAACCAATTTTCAACTCGATGATGTTCACTGAAAATCCCGAAAGCCTGTCGAATGTTGATTTAGACTGCCGAATTGGTCATTTTGACTCCTAAGTCACCCCATTTTTCTCGTACTATATAAACGTTGATGCACAACCAGAAAACGGGTGATCGGCTTTATACAGATATCACGATCACTTGATATCAAAAGATAAGCATATCGGTTTGTTTGAACATGGATACTGCCAAATTAATATGTTCTTCATATGTTGTTTATCCTTTTTCCTCCGTGAAAACAACACACCCAACCATGAACGGATCATGAAAAAGTGTTGGTTATATCCCCGCTATATCTCCACTGTGGATCATGATAGTTGGTTGTTTGAACAACACTTCGTAAATATCCCAACCAATTATGCAACCAAACATAATGTATGCAACTATAAGTTGCTTGTATATGCTTGTCTACGACTAATTGTTTAATTCAGTTATACACATTTTTCATCATGTTTGTTAGTTGAATCCCAAGCAATGGTGGTCTGACTCACCAATCCTCGACAGGCCAAGGAGCGGTGCAATGCCTTCAGCTTCCATGAAGGCAGCGGGACGGACGGCGCTTCGCTGCGGTGCCATGGAAAGATCCACCATTTTAAAGAACGGTAAAGCATCTATTTCTATGGGCCATACCATGGCTATGTTAAATAACCAGAGGGTATCTATAGTCTTCCTACAACTCATGACATATGCAAACGCGTATATACCGTATATAGGAGTGGAACATTTCAAAATCTCTACTGTGGCCATCAGGCTCAGCCTGCGAGCTACGTCACTGCCTGTGACCCAGTGGCTGTTGTCAGGTTGGATGGGGTCCCATTTTCATAGTTATTCAATGTTATTCACTGGGAAAAGATGATGAACCAATATGAACCAATATGAACCAATATGAACCACTATGAACCAATATGAACCATTTTTTTGTTAATTGGTTACTATTGGATATATCCAATATACCATAAAGTAACCAATATATCCAATAATCATTTTATGATTACTTTAAAACTCTATCGGATTTTTTGCTTTATCGGCATCTATCATATTATCAGCTGTGGATTCCTGTGGATTCCGATTCCAGCTGCTGTGATCACCATGATGATATGATGGAGACCCGCAGATGTTGGTCATTTTCTATCAATGCACGTCAGTCAGAGTCTACAGCCTCATTTTCAGAAATTTCCCAACCTTGTTATCATTCTTTGTTGATTTCGCAGATGTTCAATCCACATCCTGCAGATGATATCACTCCCCGAACCATCTTTTGCTCATCGTTCTATTTAAACATCCGCCGAGGCGCTGCGGCGCCTCAGGCGCAGCTTTGGCACATGAAAGGATGGCAGTCCTGGCGAAGAGGTCGGAAACGGAGAACTCCACAGATTTCCTGGGGCCGCTTTTTGGAAAAAAACCACTCCAAATGGGGGCCGTGTTTGCTTTTTCCACAGGAATATGGTTTCAAATGGTGACGAAGCACTGAAAAATCTTTTGCTTTTTCGGTCATTTGGTGAGGTGCCCCGCAATGCCTTCAGCGCGCCTGGGTCAAGGACGGAGGTGTGAAAGGAAACATTGTTTCGGGATGTGTCAAAAACCATTTTGCCTATGCGCTTCTTTTTTGGGGTGAACATCCACTTACCATCTGTTGTGGTGTGTACAAAAGGGTGGCAGGGTCTTGACTCATACCCATTTGGCGGAGAATTATATTATATATAATTATGGGACAGAACCAAAATCATGATACATCAACACTTGTTTTTGGCATTTCATTTTTTTCCTAGAACCATAATGGCAGCATGTTTTGGGATGTTGAGAAAAATCATATTGACAGACCATGTGCCCTTAAAGGCGCGCGCAGCCCAGGGCGCCTTTGCAGCCCAGGACGAGGAACTCTTAGCCTTCCCTGCTGGGAGTGTGGCGGGCGACCCCAGGGATCTGAGGAATGAGAGAAACGCAGAAACCATCGCCCGATTGGGCTTTACTATTGGGTTTATACTTTATACATTATTGTTTATGGGGTTTATAGGAATGTGGTTTATATAGAACTGTTTGCCACATTCCTATACATTCCTATACATGAGTGAAACCATGCCCTGTCGAGAAAGCGTTTCTTGCCTCGAGCCTGGTCCTTTTCTCATCATTTGCCTGAGGAAAAGAACTGGAACCTAATCGAAGGTCAAAGAGACCGGCTTTTCCTGGAATATTTCATCGAACCTCACATTGTGTCAGGGCCTCCTCAGGGATTGTCTATGCAGAAATAAAAAGATTTAGCTGGAGTGCAAGGGGTGTATCACAGGGTGTACCCCTTTAAAGTGGATGAGGAGACAGTGTCAGTGGATTTCTGGACTCCAGTTGTATTGTCAAAAGACATGGTCTCTGCTGAGATTCATGGAACTACAGTGATGACTTTGTTGATGTGGTACCCTTTGGGACACATGTGCAGTTCCATGGCTGAGGCTGACTGCGCATCTCCAGCGCCATGCAGGACGGTAGTAGTTTCTGGGTAGGGTTTGACCCATCCAACCCTTCCCAGATGTTCGGATGCAGGAATGGTACCTCCAAGAGTATGCTTGTGGTTTCACGATGTTTCGCGAGCCGTTCACAACAGTCAAAGAAAAAAGTCAATCCATGTCAATCCTCCTATCATATCCTATCATGTACTCGTGATGTACTCGTGGTTGATGGGTTCAACATGGTGCAACCATGAAATGACCTGGGAGGATGATGATCATTGATGATCCCAGTGGCCTATTTCCAGGGGCATTCACCATGATAGATACATGTAACTGGTTGGTGGTTTCGAACATGGCTGGATTATTTTCCATTTCATATATGGGATGTCATCCTTAACCCATTGACGAACTCCATCATTTTTCAAGATGGGCACATTGCACCACCAACCAGGTAATATATAGAATCAACAAAGATGAGGTATTTCATCATCACCATCCAGTTCGTGAAATCTTACGATTGGCCCAAATTTCCCCAACATTGGTTGAAGGGGAAATTCACAGGAGAGCGCGGCAATTTTTTGGGGCTAAAGATCTGGTTTCTGGAAAAAAAAACCGAAGAGTCAGTCATTGAACATCATGTTTCCTTCTTCATGTCCCATCCCCAAGTTCTGTTGGTTGAATTCTTAGATTTTCTGGTGAAATTCTGTTTTTTTTTTTTGTTCCGGTCAAATCACCAGTTGTGGTGAAATCTTAACTTTAAAAAAGACGGCTTTGAAAAAATGCTAAATCCAAATGTTTGTTGGTTGGATCACCATTCTTCCGGTGAGTCCTTCATTTTTTCCGTCAAAAACAGTGGAAACCGTGGAGATTCGGAGGCATCAGCATTACTGGCCTCGAGCAGAGCTTTGTGACGCGCTGGCCGTTTGAGGCAAAGCCATGATTTGAAGTGAAGAAAAGGAGAAAAATCCAAGAAAAAGAGGGATTTTGGAGGATTTTTTTCATGATTTTGTTGCAATATCCCAACAATAAGATAACTTAAATGTTTCTGGCAGGGATTTGCCATTAAATAGAGGGTTTTATCATGTTTTTGGCCACGCGAAGCTTCGGAGCTTCGGAGATACATCCAACTATGAGACGGAGCCATGGCCACCTGGCAGGTGCTGCACGGGCTCACAAATGTACGAGGCAGCTTCGGCTCTGAAACTAGGCGACCTGAAAGTATCATGGTTGATTCAGTTTGATCATCATTTTTTGAAGTTGCAGGGAATCGGCTATATCATATTCCTGTCATCGATCATTGTTGTTGATTCATATACTATCATATACCTATTAGACCTATTAGTTCTGTCGCCCCCAATCATAAACTTAAGTCATGTTCTTACTGGTTATAGTAGGTTATTGTTGTCTAGCCGTTGTCTAGTTTCTCATTTCTTCTGGGATTGATTTAACCTATCATCCCTGGTCACTAGTAGAGATGCCCCCCCCCCAGATTTTCCCATTTGTTTCAGGTGGCTTTTGCTGTTTGCGGCTATCCGAAGAGCTTCTGACTGCGCACCGTCTCTTTACCGAACCCTGGTGGTCAGGGCCGCAGATTGGGCAGCGGCAGATTATGCATCTCTGGGGCTGCCAGTGAAGGGTAGTATTAATACGTACGTACAGATATCTATACCTACAGATATCTATGTAATATACTCTATATACATGAATACATGATATGAATGTGGGAATGGAATACCCCACATGCTTTGTTTGACCATGAAAGATCAGCCCTCCCAACGGTCCGTTCTTCAGCCTTTGTGCTGCCCGTCAGGTTTGATGAGGATGCTGCAGATGTGCCAGCAACTCCCACAGGTCTATATTTCTGGTACCAAACCGTCCATTTTTTGGGGGCCAAACATGTTGATCCCCAGGTGGGGATGCAGGCAGAAGCCAATGAATGACAAGAAAATTGTTTTATCCGGGACATCCTCGTTTTTTTCATGGGGATATCTAAAGATGATGGGGATTTTCTCATGCAAAATGCAATAACCACTGCACAACCTTTGGGGGTCATGGATCCAGGTCTTTCTGTCGTTTCCACTGATTGCCCTGATTTCAGATGTTTTTTTTTACTTTGCAGCCCAGCTTGCGATGATCAATCAGATCTTGATGTATCTTGACCTGTGCAAGAAAATTGTCAAACCAAGTTGAGATGATTCAGATTCATTACTATTTTTTGGGGCCAACCCTCCTCAGCCAGTTCCTTTGACCAGGTCCTTTGCGGCTGGGTGTGGGTCATTTGCAACGCATCCGTTCGCCTTTTGACCAGGACCGCAGGGGACCGCAGGGGCCTGGGTGTAAACATACTACTGTAACAGATATGTACACTTAGTTGTACAGTACATGTATGCTATAGATACTATAGATTGATATTGAAGACGTGAAATCCCATTTTCATCCATTTTCTTCATACCAGTATCAAGACTAACCATTTGACTTTCAGGGAGATCACCTGGCTTACCTCCGAAAGTCCCTCCAGAGGCGCCTGGTGACCTGTCGCGCTTTCGGCGACAAGCGAAGAGCCGGGTCAGCGGGCGTCGCCGGGTGGACAGGTTGATTTGTGATTCCCAAAGGGAAACGAAGAAAACGATATGGATTATATGGATTATATTATATATATATGGAAAACACCCATGGGGAAACCCGTTCAGAAAATGATTTCGGTAGGTTTTCCATATCTATCTATGCTTAATCTATGCTTTTTCAATCACTGAAGACCTTGAAGAGGCTGTATCCCAATATTTCCTCGTCCAAATCCTACTAAATCCCTCATGTTTGTCGGTTAAATCCCTCTTATTGGTGATATCGGTTTGGGTCAAAATTGGCTACCCCATTATTTGCCGATAATTGGATACTAAGCAAATCTGTTCTTGAGCTGTGACTTGTAGCTCCATACTTCAAAGGGGTGAGGCTCAAAAAGGGGCACCAATGAGTCCACGGCTGGTCATTCCGGGCATCTAACATCATCTACCCTCTGGTAATTTAACATAGCTATTGAAAATCACCATTTTTAATGGGAAAATCCACTATTAATGGTCATTTTCAATAGCTATTTTGACATAACCAGAGGGTAACCATCCGGGCTGGGAATAAAGAAAAACCAGGAGTATCATCCAATATAGCCCATGGAAATCCATCACAAGATGGGGATATTCGGATATCAATAGAGATGATCTCACTGACATGAAGTAAATCCAATATCCCATTGGAAACATGATGAAACATGTACAGTACCATCTGATTGCTATTCTCGGATTTAAGGATGAGCCGAACAGGCAGAGATTGAGGCAACCTTGACTCGCATTTCGCTAGTCTTGGGACTCCAGGTCCAGCCAAACGCTTGCCAAATGGTAGGGTTTGTTTCCGTAGATCGATACTAAGAATATCCCACTATTGGGTGGCTAAGCTGTGGCAAGAACACTGCCAAAACCTCCAGGCATTGCTTTCATCCGATCCATTCCTGGAGAAATTGAGGAGACGATTGAGGTCACCACATTATATGGTTTATTAATGTTTATTAGAGTTAAATCTTGATTTTGATGGTTAGATCATGTTAGATCCAAATGATTCATGATATTCAGAGCATTCCCTCGGTTTGACGAGTTCTATCATGCCACCGCCTTGCCCCCGCCAGACCTATCACCAGCTTGCGGCTCAGTCCTTTGGGTCAGCTGAGTGCAGAGGGTCAAGATATATACATCTTCATTGTTGAGTGAGCCCCATGCTCTAGACTCTAGTTCTTTTGGACAGATGCCGAAATTGAACAGGTATATATATTTGTATATGTATATATATATATATTGTGAATGGATCACAAAGGTAGCAGCTCAACGACAATGGTGACCCCGTCACCTAGCAACGCAAACAGCTGCTTGTTTTCCTCAGCCAGCGATGCGCAAGGTCAAAATGACCACCTGGAGCAATGGAAGTGTTCCTGCAGATGTATCCAGCGAAAGGATGCTGACCACAGCAATGTTTAATGGCTTCAAGCGTAATCCCACCCTCAAACACACCCAGGCTGACCTCAGCCTTACAGCTGCAGTTGATGAGATTCGGTTTGGCTCCCCTTCACTGGTTTCATGCACTGACGTGGACATGACTGCTAGAATCACGGTGCATATCTGTACGAATCACACTCCCAAAAAATCATTTTTGTTCTGTATTTTCTTGATTCTGCAGCCATTTGAGTCTATTCCGAGCTGATGCTCTTTCCTTCAAGATCTGCTCTTGGTCATGCAGCTGATATTTTCCGGCTCGTAAAACGTGACGTAAGAATGAGCATTCCATCTCCTTCGTCAACGCATCAGCCACTTGAGCTCCTGAATGAACCCATCTCAAGCTCACGTTCTCGGCTAACATGTCCTTAATGGATCGTGCCAACAGCTGTGTCCTAAACTCTTGACAATTGGGGGGAGCTGTTCTGCTCACCAGATCATAGAGTGATTTACAAGGCTGAATGTTGATGGCTATATCCTTGAAACGTTTTGCATCATGCAGGACTTTGTTAGCCTGTATCAGCGTTTGCACTTTGGCACAGTTTACCTGACTTTGCAAGAAGCTCAGTCGGCTTGACAGGTCGGGTCTGGTGTTCACCGCTGCATATTGGAGTGACCCGATAAGGGCACGAAGATCCTGTTGTTCTTCGTTGGTCACGGTGCTTTCTAAGTCTTTCTTGCGTTCTGGACTCACATGAATTGGATCTATTTTGGATACATATTTCTCTTGTGAGAGTTTGATGCTATAGTCTGCATTCTGATGCATTTCGATACCTGTGAACACAAAGCGCTGATTCTTTTTGGATCCAAATGGATATCGTTCTTCTAATTTGGCTAATTGAGTTAAGAAAAATTCATCACCACCACATAGCCCGTCATCAACGTGTACTCCAATGATTCCTGCTGGTTTTGTGGCACCTTCGGGATACAAGAGATACACTGTAGGATCGAAAGGTGAAGGTCTAAATGAGAGTTCCCGAAGTGCTTTGTCCAATTCTTGGAACCAAAGGAAAGGGGCGTCTATTAGACCATATGCTGATTTCGACAACTGGCAAATCTCTGATGAAGAAAGTTTCATGGCTTTAATCATTTCAGGGGGTGGCTCAATACCAATAACTCTTCCTTGAGTGGATCCTTGTAAGAATGCTGCTTTGATATCAAAGGACAACAGATCCCAGTTCATGGAAGCAATCAATTGTAAAATGAGCATCCGAGATTGGCGATTCAGCGTTGGACTGTCTCGTGGAATTTCTTCTAATGCCGGGTCTAAATAGCCCAGGACAACTAGCCTGGCCTTGGCCTTACGGTTCTTGCCCAACTTTGATTGTTCTTCTTCGGATTCAATTGGTTTCCATGTGTAGATCCATCGACATCGAAGAATTTGTTCTGGCGACAACTTGTTCCGCAATACTCGACAGACCGTGCCTGTGCTCAGCCAATTGGCGATCTCCGCTGCTTTAGCGCGATCGAACTCTGCTTGCTCAGCACTGGTGAGTTGACTGAGCTTGACTTCTGTTCTTTGTTTCTTAGCAGTGGTGGCTATGAAGATGGCATCTTCTAGTTCCTTTTCGGTTGATGGCTTCTCTGTTGGTCCTAAGTCACAGTCAACCTCAAGGCGCCATGCCAGATTCTCAGCACCTTGAAGATGCTGCTGATCTTCAACATCGACGCAGGTGAGTAGGTCGCATAAGAGCTCGTCTTCGGCAGTCGGATCTTGAATTGGTACTTCATGGGCCGGTGTTTCAAGTGGGTTATGATCTACTGGTAGTTGTAGGGTATTCTCCGTAGTATCATGGTTGGGATTGTTCACATGGTCATCGTTACTGGGCATGTTAGTGGTAGTATCTTGATTGCCTAGGTGGGAATCATCCTCGGGTTCTTGATCAGGTTGATCTTGGGATCCCTGGGATGGCGGTCTCTCATGGTTTGGGCGTAACTGCACATATGATTGAGAACTCGGAATGTCATTCATATCATGAGCACTTCTGGAGACACTTGAAGTCCTTTCGGGCTGTCCTGTGTTAGCTGTCATTTCTTCGGGAATAATGGTGGCTTCAACAGCTGTTACTGGTCGTACATGTTCCGGTGCGGCCCGCATCAAGCTTCCCATGTGTTGGCAAAAGACAGTATGGCTGCCATCTTGCTGGATAACTTTGGCAGGTCCTATCCAACCTTTGCTTGTGGTATTTGCTCGCCATATCATTACCCATTCACCTGGCACGTACTGACCTCGTGGTGGTCGGTTTCGACGCAGAGCAGCCCTTCGTATTGCTGCACTATTGTCAGCTGCTACAAATGCACGGCGAGCAGTTTCTCGAAATGCAAGTTGTTGTCTGAAACGGAGACCTTGTGCTGTCTCCTCACTGGCTGTGAGGTGGGCAGTCAATTGATCATCGCTTGTTAATGACCCTGGCATACGGAATCCCTTTCCAAACACTAACACTTCAGGTGAGTACCCGTGTCTGAGGCTACAGCTATTCTTTGCGGCGGTGCGCATAGTGAGGGCAACTTGCATTTCGGCATAGCTAGTTATGGCATGTTCAGCGTCATATTTCTGTAGCATTTCTTGAAGGACTTGTCCATGACGCTCAGACCGTCCCATCTGCCAATGAGCTTGGGGAGGAATTATGGTTGTTTTCACTCCTAGGGTCTGAAGATATTGTGAAAATACTTCGGACTCGAATTCTGTGGCAGCATCAGCCATGAACTCATTGGGGGGCCCTGCCCAGTTTACCCAGGCTGCGTTCAACTTTTCGATGGCATGTTCAGCTGTACGATTTGGTGCAATAACCGCTACATGATAGTTGGTGCCATAGTCGAGATAATGATAAAAATGGAAAACATTCCCTGACTTGCTAGTCCAGCTAATGCCATCCACAGATACCTTATCCCCAAAATCCATCTCTGATTTAAGATGAGCTGGGCGAGCTATTTTGGGTTTCTGCTGCATCATGCAGGTGGAGCAATTATAATCCTCGAGTGCTTGGATCATTGTGGCCGGGTATCCCTTCTGACGCAACACCTGTCCCAGAACTTGCTTAGATGGGTGTCCTAAGTTCTTATGAATCCTGGCAAGCAATCCTCGTTCTTCTGGGGGCAAGGCTACAAACCGACTGCCATGTTGTTTGCTATGGACATCAATGATTTCAGGGGACCTCTGAGCAATGGTCATGGGCCGAGTGTCATGTCGGACTTCGGGAGCTGCTTCTTCAGCAGGCTGATTGGCTTGGCCTTTTGCTGGAATTTCTGCAGGTGATGTCTCATCCGGAGACGATCGGTTTGGCTCTGGTGGCCTATAGGCTCTACACTGCTGGTCTCGGAGGTATCTCCTCTGGGATTGGCTGCAAAAACTGTTATATTGACATGGCTTGCATGGACTGGTCTAGTCAGCTGTCGGTTGGACAAATGGGTCCAATCTTCCCATTGGTCTTCCATGAGAATTTCCTGTGTTCCCCGCCCTTCGACAATTGCTCTACGGAATGGAGCTTCTTCGGCTGTTAGCCCTTTAGGTGGTGCAATGGCTCGCTCTGTCCCTTTGCATGCGACTACATGAACAATGTGCTTATCTTCAAACACTCCCTGGAGAAGCTGCAACACTCTGGTATCAGTGATCTGTTTCTTACCTACTCTTGGAAGTGATGATTTTACCATGGACATGATTTCAGCTAGCTCAGTGGTGATGGGATCTGGGCTTTTGCCCTCCATTCTCCTACGTTTCAAATGCAAGCCATCAGGTTTGATCAGTTTTGCAGGCTGCCGCTTGGCAGAAAGACTCGCTGGCATACGCTTGATCCGTTTGCCCTCAGGCAGCCTGGATGCACGGGCACTGGAGCTCTTCCTCTTAGCTTCAGCTGTCAAGACTGGTACTTCATCAAAATATCCCTTGGGATTACCATGGTTCCCCTTTATCATAAGCTTGGCAACATACCTGGCAAACTTACGTGGGTATTTCTCGGAAAACTGTGTGCGCTTCATGGTGTGTCCCTTGACCTGAGTGCATCCCTCAAGAGTTTGATGTTGATGAGCTTTATTGCAAAATCTACCGTGGAGACCCTCATACATGCTCATGGATGTGGTTCGTACCGACATGGATTTTTGGATCAACTGGTGTGAAACTGGGTCTCGAAGTTCCCCCATTCTGCACATGTCAAAGTTGGCTTCCCAGGTCTTGGAGTACAACTCTTGCAGAAGTGGGGTTACAAACATTGCAGATCGTCTAGGCTGCTCCCAGTGAAGGTGCTTTCCATGCAGGTATTGATACCGCAGCAGGACAATGCCTAGAGCGAGTTGAAACAAAAGTTCCAGACGCTGGTTCTGGATCATGGCAAATCCCTCCACTGATTTGTTTCCGTTGAGATTACTCCAAGAACTCCAAGGTCCACATGTGGGACTGAACCAAAGATGTTCAGGCTGACCAGCTACTAAGTGGCGGAACAAAACTTCCCGACCTGTAGTTGAAGCAAGATCGGCGATGTCAAGACTGATTCTTTGAGCTCTGGAACCTAAGTTTTGCACCTGATGTGTCAACTCACTGTTATTGCTGCAAAAGACTTCCAACAGTTGAAGCTTAGGGATCTTCAGGTTATTGTTGTCCTGGACCTGTTGCAGCTCTTGTTCAAACTGTGTGATGAGCTGCTGGAATTTGGCTTGAAACTGTTGCGGTTTAGTGCAAAAACTATGAAACACACTATCATCATGATCCATGTCACCAGCAGATCTGTGGCCATCGGCACTGGCATCTCTGCTCACTTCTGCTCTTGGCGGATGTGATTCAGGACTTCGGTCATGGCGTTCTCCAGAAAGCCCATCCGGGCCTGCAGTGCATTGATCATCTCGGTGTTCTCGTTGGGCGGCATCTCCATCCATTCCTCCACGTCTTCCTCGCTCAGGTGAGTCAACAGGTCCACCTGCTGAGGCTGACTCTTGGGACGAGCCTTGGCCTTGGCGATCACCGGCGGTTGCTCCATATGAGGGGAGGTGTTGATCTCGATGGATGTGGGAATGGCCCCTTGTTCTTCCATCTGAACCATCAACTCCACAAAGACCATGAACTTCTGGTGTTCGATCTTTTGCGATCCCTCGTATGTCTTCACCACCCAGCGAACCCAGGATGGCTCCTGGTTCCATGTTGTCAGGTAAGACTTGCCCAAATGGGCCTTGCCGAAGTCGACCTTCTGGTTGCACATCACTTCCCACGGCATCTCCCTGAACTCGGCCAGTGGATCTCCATAAGAGCCTGTCTTGAGGGCATTGAGACGCTTGGAGAGGCTCATGGTGAGTCACAACGATCGGATCCGCTGCAACAAACTTGGGCTTCTCGAGACACGCTTTGAACCTGGATGCCTGTGGTGATGTCTGGCTACATGCACATGCATGCTGGGTTTTGCGAACCAAATTGAGGAAGTGGTCATGGCAAGTATCTTGATTGTGATTATGTGATTGCATTTTGGTTGAAATTGCTTGGTTCTTGTGTTCATGGTTCATGACAGTTCCTAAGGCAGCAGGTGGCTTCGTAAATCCATCTTGAGGCCTGGCAGATTCGAATGCTTTGGTGGAGCTCGACTGTGATGGTCTCTCGGTCAACTCTGGTTTTCCGTTCTCGGGCTCATTGTCAACATGCGCAAAAGTCTCAGCTGTTTCGCAGTTTTGGCTGGCAGCTTCGGCTAGCTCATTAACATCCACAAGAAACAAACCCCTGGGATTCAACTTGAGTCGGATGGATCTTTTCAGCATTGGACTTTGCAGAAGCTGCTGTGCAACATCAACCTGTGCTTTCAGTGTTCGGAGCAGTGTGTTGGACAAAAGCAAGGGAGTCTGACCCTGTACAATGGAAATCTTCAGGCCTAAATTACCTAAAGGAATCACTAGTGCCGTCTTGCTGTCAAGAGTACCTTGGTTGCCAAATCTGAACGTGACCGAACACTTGCAGCGAAAAAGACGCTGGCGGATCTTGGGATTGAGACCTTGAATCAGGTCCGGAATTAAATCGCTTCCTATGACTGACTTGGTGGCACCGGTATCCAAAATGCCAAAAGTCTCATGAGATGAAAACATCGCGGGCTCGTCGTGTGCGAACCCAGAGACGGGCACCGGCTCTCTCACAACATGGGCATGTGCAGCAGGCTGGCTCGAATGTTCACTCCTGAGCTCAGGAATGTTCCCCTTGAAGGTAACTTTAGATTTCCCCATCTTACGGTTACCGTTATCCCCATTATTTCCCGATAAACAATACCTCTTACCCCTGAGGTTAACTATATTGGCAAAGGCTGTGTGCAGTCTGGGCTCATCCAGGGCTGTCTCTTGGATCTCTGGCAACTGCAGAAATTCCAGAGGGAGGAATTCATCGGCATGGCTCATGGTCGTATCACTTGGCTCGGCAGTTAAGGTGGGTGCTGTCGAACCTGTGCTGGAACCAGACTGCTTGTTGCGGTCTGGGCATTCGGCTTTCCAGTGACCTTTTCTGCCGCAAAGGCGGCATGACGACTCGAGGATTCTCTGTTGCAGGCTTTTCCTCTGGCCCTTCTGTGCACCTTTGAACTTTCCTTTAGATCCCTTACCTTTCCCCTTTTGGGAATTCACAGGCCAGAAACCACGATTGCGGAAACGTTCACTCAAACGCCTTCTTGCGTCCGTGTATGCTGTCAGGGCTGTTGCAAGTTCTGAATCATCCTGCACTGCGTCAGCCATTGCTGACTCATATTCGCTCACGAAAAGCGCATCTTCATCACCTTCTTGAGCTAAGGTCTCGATCAAGTCCTCTTCGGAAAACTCTTCAGAGACAAATGCAGTTGACTCCCATGTGGAGTCTTCTGGTTCTTCAAACGTAACGTTGGCTGCATCATAGATCTTACCCTTAGATTTCTTCACCCCGATCATTTCATGAAAGAATCCAGATCCTAGCATTCTGACCGATTGGTTCACCTTGTCCATGGATAACTGGCCAGAACCAGCTGCATCGCTTTCTAGAATCACACGTTTCTTGTCCTCATGGCTCAAAAGTGAACCCCGAAGCACTATGTATGATCTCAGCTCCTCCATGGACATCTTCTTTGATAAAAGCTCAGTCCAATAAATGTCAGTTCGTGCCAGGTAGGAGTCATTTGATTCGTCGGTTTTCTGAATGCATCTAAGCAATGCCTTCTCAACCACCTCGTACTTCTTCTCCAAGGTCACTTTACCCCATTGTCCACCCAAAGCTTTCACTAAGCACTCGATACCCGTCTTGTCATTCGTCAGGATCTCGGTCTTCTGCAGCTGGAGTTTCTGAAAGGCGGCGCCTGAAGTGTTTAAGATCAAGCGAGTTGCAAGTTCATTCAACTTCTCTGCCGGCCAGATTTCAGTTAACATCTCAATTTTCTGCACATATTGTTCGAGTTCATCCTTTGAGGGATCAAACGTAGGGACCAAAGTGGTCAGTTGTGAAGACACATGGGTTGTCGAACCTTCACGGCTCTCTGCGGACATGGAACTACTGGAACCCTCGGCTTCAGCGGCGAGTGTTGTACCCTGATTTGTATTTCTCTGCAGTCTCCAAAACGATCCAAGATTGACGTCCCAAATGGTCCTGGAGCTTGTGGTAGCTCCGCTACCAATGTGAATGGATCACAAAGGTAGCAGCTCAACGACAATGGTGACCCCGTCACCTAGCAACGCAAACAGCTGCTTGTTTTCCTCAGCCAGCGATGCGCAAGGTCAAAATGACCACCTGGAGCAATGGAAGTGTTCCTGCAGATGTATCCAGCGAAAGGATGCTGACCACAGCAATGTTTAATGGCTTCAAGCGTAATCCCACCCTCAAACACACCCAGGCTGACCTCAGCCTTACAGCTGCAGTTGATGAGATTCGGTTTGGCTCCCCTTCACTGGTTTCATGCACTGACGTGGACATGACTGCTAGAATCACGGTGCATATCTGTACGAATCACAATATATGTATATATATATAATTATATATATGTATATATATATATATATGTATATATATATATGCGTATTGTGAATGTACCATCCATTTGTGACATCAACTCTTGCCCATCACACGAACATACCATGATCCACATGTTCCCAGTGGGTGCTTTCAACTTTTGCCGTCCGCCTCGCCGATTGTGCAGCTGGGCGGGCGGGAGGATTCAACAAGGCCAGCAAAACAGGGTTTTGCATCTCAGGATTGGTGGATAGGAATCCCCAAAATAGTATCTCAGGGAGATAGTAAATTCACATTGGTAGCGGAGCCCTGGGCTGCCGCCTGGGGCATCCGAGTAACTAATATTTCTTGGGACATCTTAGACGGGGTCTAGGACAGTCAAACAAGGTTCCATAGGCTGGAACAACAGTTTTCTCGGGCGCAAAGTCTGAGCCATGTCCTCGGAACGAATGGCGGAAGCAGCAGATCCACCATCGTCGGGGATTCCTCCGAGTTCCCTTCCATGGGGACAGATACCTCGTTTTGACCCGGCAACAACTGATCTGAGGGTGTACACCCAGAAGTTACAGTTTCTGCATCAGGTATGGCCGGCTGAATACATAGAGCATTTGGCGCCACGTGCTGCCTTACTTGTGGAGGGCGCAGCATTCCAAAAACTGGCAAGACTTGATGCACAGAAATTGAGGACAGCTGACGGGGTGAAGATCCTCATTGAGACCTTGGGAGGTGCCTGGGGTCGCACAGACCCGGAGGACACGTATGACTTGTTTGAGCGAGCCCTGTACCCTGTGAGCCAACGATCAGATGAGACCAATGACAGCTACCTTGCAAGGCATGACACGGTGTTTGAAGATTTGCTGTCAAAGAAGATCACCCTGGCCGATGTACGGGCATATGTGCTCGTAAGACAGTCAAACCTGAGCTCTGAGGATCGAAAACGGATCATTGTTGACAACCAGGGACAACTGACCTACGAGCAAGCAAGGAAAAGCCTGAGGCTCCTTGGGTCGCGATTCTTCCAGGACCTTCAGGGGAACCGAGCCAATCAAGGCAAGAAAACGTATGAGGCTTACCAGATGGATGAACATGATGACAATCACCAGGCTGCCTTTATGCAGGAGACCGACTCCCTGGAGTTTGACGAGGAGCAGATCTTCCAGCTTCTTGCAGACCAAGGTGACGAAGATGCGGTGTTCATCTCGGACTTTGAGGATCAGATTGTGGACGCCATCCAAGACCATCCGGGCTTATCCCAATGTTTCCTGAGTTATCAGGAGGCTCGTGCCAAAGTGAGGGAACGAGCCCGGGCCAGGGGTTTCTGGCCAGTGAAAGGGAAGACGAAAGGAAAAGGAGGCAAAAAAGGAAAGCAGCCATGGACATCAACCAGTGGATCGTCGTGGGCACCTGGCCGACGACGTTCCTTGGCGGATCGTATCGCCAATTCCACGTGTCGGGCATGTGGACAGCCCGGGCACTGGAAGAGGGAATGCCCAAATCGGCCAGATGTCAAAAAGAATGAGGCCACCAACGTCACTGAGGAGATCCACCCTGGCACCGACAACGTCGCCGCTGACATCTTCGAGGTGATTTCTGAGCTCCCGGAAGATGCAGTCTCTTGGAGCCAGGCATGGAATGAAAGTCCAAAATCATGTCATGCTGTCAGGGATTTTTGGGATTGTCATGTTTGTGTTGAGGGTCAGATGTTTGATATGGTTCATCACAAACTACATGCTCGGCTGATCAAATGCTGTAGGAAGCACGGAATTGAAACGGTGGTCCCCACGATGCATGAGAACTTGAAGCCTGAGTCATTGCCGGACACTCGCCTGAGAAGCCCTGAAAGGACTTCTGAGCCTTCCATAGTGGAGGCCCATCCAGCAACTGTTTTCCAAGTCGAAGAAGCATGCCATGAGGCCATACTGGACACAGGGGCTAGTAGGGCCGTAATCGGGTCTGATCGTTTGGATAAGTTGGTAAGATCTTGTAATCTTGGAGGGTCACTCAAAACTGCCCCATCAAGTGTGAATTTTCGTTTTGGCAACTCTGGCGTGCTTCAGAGCTCACATGCCGTGTTCTTTCCACGGAAAACAGGAGGATGGATCAGAGTGGAAGTGGTTCCTGGTCAGACACCGTTTTTGTTGTCAAACTCAGTCCTTCGTGCATTGAAGGCAGTCGTAGATGTTGATGCAAAGCAGGTATGGTTCAAAGGTTCCGATACTGTCATTCCTCTGAGAACATGTCGCAAAAACCTCATGAGTGTGGATTTTACCCAAATTCTGAACCTATCAAGTGGGGTTCAACAAGAATCTGACCATGAGATACATGTGATGGACCAGCATGAGGGATGGAATCATGAGTCGAAACATGAAAACCAACATGTTAGAGTAGGAGACAAAACCCATGAAACGTTCCAAATGGCCGTGAATCAAGGTGAATTTGTACAGGAAAATTTTGACGACTCTTTGAAGAATGTCGGGGATGGCCTTCGACCGATGTCTCAAAGTGTAGCCCAACTTTTGCCCAAGATTCCCAGTTTTCAGGAAGTGCACCCAACCGAAGTAGTGAGCCATGAGTCTGGATCCTCACGATCAGACGCTGACGTTCAAAATAGACCCGAAGCTCAGCACCACAGAGCAGTATCCCGAGACGGCGCCGGCAGAAATTCAGCGTCCACCGGGGATCTCCACTCTCCGAGAGTGGGGTCAGCTGAAGATTCCATCGGGGAAGTTTGGGGGCAAGACATTCGAACAGGCACACAGCGACCTATGCTATGTTCGACAGATGTGGAATCGGAAGGCGGTATCCGCCTGGGTTCGAAGCTTTCAGATGTACTGCAGAGCCAGGAGTCAGGCCACAAGCGAGTATGCCTACAAGATGAAGGAGCAGGGCATCGAGGTGGACCTGGTCAGACTCCAGACACAGGTATCAAGGGTGGCCGCCAGCAGTTACAGTGCCGGGCCCAAGCCGATCGACAAGCCCAAGACCCCGATCACGGTGACACAGGGAAAAGACAATGCAGGAGAGTGGATCAACATCGAAGAGGAGGTGAAGACAACAAGCGAGCACAGTCGAGCTCCCAAGAGGGTGAACTCCAAGCCAAAGGCCACAGCCATGGCTCTGGAGCCCAATCCCACGCGAGTTCAGGAGATTCGCACCCAGATTGCGATCCTGGAGCGGGAGCTTGCTCGAGAAGCTCTGATTCCCGAAGAGGAGGACATCTGAGTGCTGAGCTTGACAAAGTAGCCAAGTACATCGAGAGTGAATGTCCGATCGATTCTCTTTCCCCTGAGCAAGAAGCAATGCTTCACATGGCCATCAATGGAAAAATCAATGAGGTAGAGAGCGGGTTGCTTTTGTTATCCTCCAAAGATGGTTTTGGTCATGTGAAAAAGGGGATGTATCAAACAAAGGGGAATCGAGGAAATACCCACCAAAGTCGGCCGTTGGACCTTCTGGAAGTGTACTGTGAACCCAACTCTCAAATTACCACCCACATCAATAAGTTTGGGGGACGAGCCATGCGCTTTTCACGATCTGAGGGAGACTTGAATACTTCCGAGGGTGTCCAAAAACTTTGGTTATGGATTTATATGTACGAACCTCGCCACATATGGTTGGCCCCAGAATGCCGGTTGTATGGAAAGTTTTCCAATCTCAACATGAGTCAAAGCCTTTTCATGTATGACCGGATCCAAAATCAAAGGCAACAGAACAAACCTCATCTTCAATTGTGCAACGACATATACAACCATCAAGTTTCCCATCGAAGACATGTGCACCTGGAGCAACCATCAGATTCGTGCATGTTTGGTCAACCCGAGCTTAAGGAGCTGATGTCTGGAACATATGAAGCCAAATTTGACATGTGCGAAGTTGGGAAACTCAAATTACCTCATGCTGAAAAATTTCTTAGGAAACGAACCAGTCTCAGAACCACCAATGGGTACTTGTACCATCACCTTCACCAACAATTATGTATGAAGAATCATGAACATGAAACCATCCAAGGGTCGTTTAACCACCAGGGTCAACGACAAAATGTATCTGCATTTGCAGCGGCTTACACCACAATTTTTGGGTCTAGGATCGCACGGCTGATTCTTGAGGAGTGCCAAATCAAGGAACCTCCTTGTGTTTCCGATGTGTTTGTTGCAAGGGAACATCATGAGAGACCAGGAACTGCGCCGGACGAGGCTCCGTGTCCAAAGCGGCAACGGCACTCAATTAAAGGGCCACCTCGGGGATCGGATATCCCTGTTGCAGCTCCAGCATATGGACGAGCCCCAACTTGGGAATCCATGGTTCGAAAGTGTTCGTCAAGGGTCCCCAGGGTTGGTAACTTTGTCATCCGTTTTGGGGAGGACATGTTTGACGAGTTTCAAATGATGGTGCCGGAGCTGCAACTGAAACTTGTAATGCTGTGCAGAGGAACTGAAAGGTTCTGTGTTCCCGGAAATGTGTCAAATGGTGAGCCAATGCCGTGGCGAAAAACCATCATCATCGACCGTGCAACCGGTGAGGTGATTGATAAAGGACCACCGGAAAACTGGTCCGCACTGTCCCGCATCAAACAAACTCGCAGTGCTGGACCCGCAAGAATGTCAATCACTCTGTTTGGGGATAAGATAGATAAGGGGAGTGAGGGGAGCCAAAAGGGGAGTAACCCAAATAGTGAATCTATGGAAGTTGAACCGGGGTTGGAAGTTCGTGAGTTTCGTGGGGGCCCTGAACAGGGTTGGCCTCCAAGGATTGTCCCCAAAAGTGGTCCCAATTTTGAGAGTTTGGAGCCTGAACAGAAGTCAGATTTGCGAAAGGTTCATGCGAACTTGGGACATCCACACCCGGGGAAACTTGCCAAATTCCTCAGTGAACAGGGTGCTGACGAAGCCGTGGTGAAAGCTGCACGCGACTATCAGTGTGACGCATGTATAGAAAACCAGCCTGGTCCGAAGCTCTCTCATCCTGCAAGTCTGCACGTTCCAAAAGACTTTAATGACTGTGTTGGATGCGATGGAGCCTATTGGACAAATCAACAGGGCCAAAAATTTCATTTCATGCACTTCATTGATGAAGCCACTCTGTATCATGTTGGAGTTCCCAGCGGGAGGACAACCGAAGAGCAGATTCAAGTGTTTGAGAACACATGGCTGAATTGGGCAGGACCTTGTAAGGTTTTGTATCTGGATCCTGCCGGTGAATACATCAATGACCAGTGGCATGATTTCGCCCAAAAAGAGGGCATCAAACTGCCGGTTGCAGCCGGAGAAAGTCACTGGCAAATTGGCCGAGCTGAAGCCCATGGCCGCGTAGTCAAACAAATGTTGACTGCCATGGACAGGGATGAACCTATTTCGAACTTTGATCAATTTCGGAAAAGCCTTCGACATGTGTTTGCAGCGAAAAATTCATTGAGCAATGTGAATGGATATTCTCCCGAACAAGCATTGCTGGGTAAGTCATGTTCTGTTCCTGCTTCACTTGTAGGAGACAGTAACACTGCAACACACAGTTTGGCAGAAAGTGATACCACTGAAGGAATCCTCTTTCGTGAAAGTCTTCGGAGGCGCGAATGCGCTCGAAAAGCCTTCCTGACCGCTGACAATAACAGCGCCCTTCGCCGAGCAATTCTCCGTCGACCCCGAAGAGAAATAACCCAATATCAAGCTGGGGATTGGGTACTTTATTGGAGAAGACTGAGGGGGAACCAAAAAGGGGAACGGGGAAGATGGCATGGCCCTGGTCAGATTATAGCCACTGAATATCCAAAGGTGGTTTGGGTGAGTCATGGGGGTTATTTAGTCAGAGCAAGTCCACAACAGCTCAGACCCGCTTCTCTTCGGGAACATCTCGAACTGCGTCGAGATGTATCAGGAAGGATCATGGATGAACAGATCAAGCCAGCTTGTAAGAATTTTGTTCAACTTGAGGGTGTCCCCGAAGAGGAGGAAGAAACCTCCATGTCCAGCCCAGTGAGAGGAATTCCTGGCAGTGCCGCTGATGGAAGTCAACCAGAAGGTGAGATCTTCCCGTCTGCGGCCCCGTCATCCGTGTCGCCGTGCCCATCTATTTTAGATGACAGCCCCGAAAATCCAGAAGAAGGTCTGGACTTCAATGCCCCAATTGAAACACCGGTTCCAGAGGACGGGGATCTATTGTTTGGGGATGATTGGGAAGTCCCTCAACGGGGGGTAGGTGTTTGGGAGATAGCCCTCGAAAATGGTCCCCCTAAGGATGTTGAAGAATGTTTGGTAAGTGAATCCCCCGAACTACTGGAATGGTCCCTAATTGCTACCGGGGCTAGAAAACAACGGGTTGAAGTACAATGGAAAGATTTGGAAGAAGGGGAGCGCCAGTTGTTTCAGCAGGCAAAGAAAAAGGAGATTGATGCATGGGTGAAACATGAGACTGTGAAGAAAGTTGCAAGAGGCACACTTAGGGATGATCAGATCATGCGTTGCCGCTGGATCCTAACTTGGAAGCCCCCGGCTCCTGGCACGAACGAGCGACGCGCAAAAGCGCGCTTAGTGGTTTTGGGCTTCGAGGATCCTCAAATTTCTTCCATCTCTGCTGATGCTCCCACGTTGTCCAAAGATGGGAAGCAGCTGGTGTTGCAGCAGGTTTCGAGCAATGGATGGCGCTTGGTAAATTTTGACATTGCTACTGCTTTTCTGAAAGGACAGGGAGATGGAAGAACCTTGGGTCTTCACGCTCCAAAAGAGCTCAAAGAAGCCATTGGAATGAAGCCAAGTGACCAGTGCAAACTTCTTGGAGGTGCCTATGGTCGTGCTGATGCCCCAATTTTGTGGTATCGCACATTGCGAAAGACCCTTGAGGGTCTTGGATTTGTGGCATCACCATTTGATGGATGCGTTTTCAGTTTGGTCACTCATGGCCCTAATGGACCAAGAGTAAGAGGCTGCTTAGGATTGCATGTTGATGATGGGATAGGGGGAGGTGATGAATATTTTGGGGAAGTCATTGAACGGCTTAGGAAAATATACGATTTTGGTGCCTACAATGAAGGGGAGTTTGAGTTTTGCGGAGTAAAATATTTCCAATGGGATGATGGGTCCATTGAAATGGGGCAAGACTCGTATATTCAGAAAATACCTCCTATAGATATCCCTCGAAAGCGCCGACAGCAGCCAAAAGAACCACTGTCTTCGACTGAAACTCAGTCACTTCGTCAGATTTGCGGGAGTCTTCAATACGCTGCGGTACATACAAGACCAGATATCGCAGCGAAGGTTGGGGAGCTTCAGGCAGCCATACCATGTGGTCGTGTTGAGCACCTGGTGTTGGCAAATCGGGTCCTGTTTGAAGCAAAGACAAAACCGGTAAATCTGATGATAGTACCAATTGCCGAGTCCAAAGTGACCTTCTGTGCCTTTTCAGATGCCTCTTTTGAATCTGGAAATGGCAACCCAACGAGACAAGGCACTTTAATTTTCACCACGGATGGCAATTTAGCAAAGAATCAGCGAACAGTGATTTGTCCAATGGCATGGTCATCACGGAAAATTCCGAGAGTAGTGCGGAGCACTTTAAGTGCGGAATCAGTGGCACTGGGGTCCACATTGGATCGGTTGAGCTGGTTGAGGGTATTTTGGGAATGGTTGAAAAACCCTGGCATTGACTGGTCCCAACCTGACATGATTTTGAAGAGGGCCCCTCATGCAACAGTTGCTACGGATTGTAAGTCAGTGTATGACTTATCAACCAAGACCTCAACCCCTTCGTACTCAGAATATCGCACAACCTTGGAATGCTTGCTTATCAGGGAACGCCTTCGTGAAAACTGTGGTCTTAGGTGGGTCAATAGCAAAGCCATGTTGGCTGACTGTTTGACAAAGTCAATGGATGGCGATGCTCTGAGACAAGCCTTGATGATCGGACAATATGCTCTGTTTGACGAGCATGAAGTGCTCAAAGAACGGGCTGACAAGAGATCCAGACTGAAATGGATTAATCTTGGGAGCAATGAAGGATCATAGGAAAGAACCATATGGGGAAATCCCTGGAGTTGATGTTTTCAGTCTTTTAAAATTTTGGATTTTTGACGAGTGTGAATGTACCATCCATTTGTGACATCAATTCTTGCCCATCACACGAACATACCATGATCCACATGTTCCCAGTGGGTGCTTTCAACTTTTGCCGTCCGCCTCGCCGATTGTGCAGCTGGGCGGGCGGGAGGATTCAACAAGGCCAGCAAAACAGGGTTTTGCATCTCAGGATTGGTGGATAGGAATCCCCAAAATAGTATCTCAGGGAGATAGTAAATTCACAGCGTATATATACAAATATATATATATATATATGTATGTATGTATATATATATATATATATATCGATACATACACATACGTTTGCCACATATTTTACAGAATGTTTGCCAGCACATTTTCCGTCCTTTTGCGGACCAAGAACCTGCTGCTTCTCCTCCCAGGTTCTTCTACATGCTGAGAGATTCGGAACCCTTCGATGTGGTGGCCGTGTCTCCGGAATGGCGCGCCCGGTATCAGCAGGGATGTGACCAACAAAGATGGGGGTTTAATATGATTTAACCATGAAGAATGGGCTTTGATATGGTTTAAACATGTTGTCCGCAACCTTAACGTTCGCCCAGACTCATGATTGTGACATAACATGACAATATGTTGATTGGGGAAATAACATCAACTTTATCACGAAAGGTAGCCTAGGCTACCTGAGTTCTATGTACTTTAGTACTAGTTTAGTACTGGGGGAGGTGGATGTTCCTTTCCCGGAAATTGAGACCCGAGAGTCACGAACGGAGACGGGGGCCCCCCCCCCCATTCGATTCCCCCCTGGTCCGCATGTCTTTGTTTCTTTTTCTCTGACTATGTACGTAACTCGTTATCGATCTATCTATCCATGTATCTATCTAGTTCGTCGCTATCGA